TTATCCATAGTACAAGATGCAGACAGGATATCCTGTGTAAACACTTTTAGTACAAATCTTTCTTCTCATTGAATTAAGAGAAAATAGCTGTATAGCTATCCTAACAATTTTGTATATACAAATATAAAATGGTCCTCCTTTGTATCCCCTTTTTTTTGTTTTGTCCTGTCAGAGATGGGTAGTCCATTGGCGTCTAAATACTATAGGTGTGTGAATTCAGCAAAACAATCCAACACAGTCCAGCAGTCCACAATAGTAGTTGGTTCTCCATAGAAGTAGTTGACTTAAGCCTTTCACAGCCCAGCGTATTAATATGGCTTTATTTTATATACCTCATTTTTATATTTTTCTGCTGGATGGTTAAGACCAAGATAAAGCAAGACCTATATAACAAGAAATGTAACTTTTGTATCTGATAAGGTCAGTCAAGTCCCCTCAGGATTTATCCTGTAATCCTGTACCATGGTTCCCAGGTCCTTTGTCAGTGTCAGCCATGTGGATGAGTCAGGGCCATTGTTTGACCAATTTGCTGTGTGTGAAAGCCTGAGAGAATGTTTTCTCTCCATCTGACTCTCCTTAGGCACACTCTCAATCATCCATCACATTGCTCTGTGGCCCCATAATCTCCTTGATCAGAAAATTTGTGACAAAACTGAGTTACATGATATTACAGTATGGGTTCTCCTATGTCCTGAGTCTTCACTGACCTTGAAAGGCTAGGGTCAAAATGTTGGCTATCCTTGCAGCCCTTCTATTTCTCTAATTTTTGGTCTGTTAACTTAGGTTGTTAACCCTCCAGAAGAGGAGCTTATTACCCTACAACATATGCAGTGGGGTTTAACTTCACTATCAATCTGGATATCAAACATCTTAGGCATAACATAGAACAGGTATTTTCCATCAAGTATTGATATGTTAAACTTTGAGTCCCTACAGAATATGGAGATAAAAATTTTAAACATGAAAAATATTTAAAGAATATGAATAAACAATTACACATTTTTACACAGAAATTTAGAAATCTAACCATATACAGCATTGTAGCAGGACAGTCCTGTGACTTTTTTTTCTTGTGTCTTTTTTTCATTTATTACCCTTTTTTAAACAAACAAACACTTTTACTTGAGAGTGAGTATGGTAATAATTGGTACGTCATGACAAGAAGTACGTATTTAGAAGACCAGAATGACAGCCATTCCAAGTGTGACCCTTTTATCACACATTGCTATCTAGTGCAGTTGCTTGGTTCACAGGTATCAGCATGTATAGTATCCAGTCAGTTTTTAGTGAGGGGAGGAAATATATCTTTCTAGCTAGATTCATAAGCACTTTTTTCCTTTGAGACACTTTGGAGACTTCCAAGTGATAATTTTTAAGAAATATTGTAAGTCTTTTTATTATGTAAAAGTTATGTGCAAGGAATTTTACTCAAAATTCTGAAGCCTTAAAAGAATTACAATAGATCCAACTAATGCAAGTTTCAAGCAGTCTGTGATAGAGCATGGGTCACCCTCTGCTTTTCCCTGCCTTGTTTAGAGGACACTATGACATTTCTTCACCCTAATGTTTAATTAAGAATCTATTTCTAACATATCTTTCTTTCTCATTCCATCATTCGATAGGGCCTTTCCTTGTTCCTTCAGACAAGAATGTTATTCTTGTGCCCTCTGTTTCATTCCTCATCACACTTTTTATGCCTAACTTTTATGTAACCAGACTGCATTTGTGATACCTTAGTAGTATTGCTACCAACCCTCATACTAAAAGTGTCTTTTGTGTGTCTAGCATTTTGTTAAGTGTTTTGCTGATATTTGAAAATTTAAAACATATTTTCAGGAGTTAGTAGCCCTATTGCAAGGCTAGACATTGAAGCTAGTGTTATGTTAGTGAGTGTTTAATAACTTTTATTTTGTGTGTATGTGTGCGTATAAAGAGAAATTATTAATTTGTAGCATTTGCCTATTGTGTAGTATAAATGCTTTTCCCTTCATGGCTGATTGATTGATTGATTGATTGATTGATTGATTTGGTACAGGGTCTCACTACACAGCTCAGATTCGTAGTGAGCCTCAGCCTCCCCAGTGCTGGGATTGTAGGCGTGCACCACCCCGCCTGGGTTTGGTGGCCAGCATGGTGCAGGGCCGACTTGGCATGTGGTGCTGGAAATTGAACCCTGGTCCTTACGTTGCCAGGCAGGTGCTTAGACTGCTAAGCTATTTCCCCGGTCCCATCATGGCTAATTTTAAACTAATAATATGAAATCTGAAAGAGGACTGAGGAAGAGGTGGGCACATTGATTCTGTTGCCAGTGATCCATCATCACTGGCTAAGGCTCATAAAAAATGGAATTTTTTCTTTCATAATAGTCAGAACTTACACTCATATCAAGCTAATGACTGTGCTTTTCCTATAACATTCCTTCCCCCCCCCCCCATACAGGGACAGCAGTGTGCCTTTAAGGAGGACAGAAATTGCTGGAAGAGAGAAGTTATGATAAAGGAGAGAGGACACAGTAGGGACAGTGGGAAAAGAAAGAGGAAAAGATCTTCATGGTTGGAAGTTCAGAGTAATTGATTCAACATTTTAGAAGTGGAGAAGGAAAACAAAAGATCTTATTAGAATGATGACTCATTTTTTCTCAAAATAGACAGCAGTCTACTGTGCTTCTTTTTTTTTTTTAAACATTTATTTATTTATTTATTTATTTAATTGTGTGTGTGTGTGTGTGTGTGTGTGTGTGTGTGGCCAGCTCAGCCCACCAGGGGGTGGGGCTGGCTGGCATATGGTGCTGGGGGATCGAACCGCAGTCCCTGTGCTTTCCCAAGCTTGTTCCAAGTAGGTGCTTTAGACCACTGAGCCATCTCGCCAGCCCCTGTGCTTCTTTCTGTAGAGGACACTAGACATAAAAAAATTGTAGTAATGGTTCCATCTTAAGGGGAATTACATTCAGACAAGCTTTCTTGAACCAATAACTATTCATACCCTTTTCATGTAAGTAATGACCACCTTAGGGCACACACACAAAAAAAAGGTTCAACAAAATAGCCAATGTAGGTAGTAATACTTTCTTTTTCATACAGCATAGAAAGTAACTACTATTTTCTTAGGGTAAAAAAGCCAAATTTGCTATTCTGCATTCAACATTTATAAAATTCTTGTTATAAATAACAGGGGAGAGCACATCTAGACATTCACTGGAATTCTTCAGTGTGATATATGAAGCATTTATTAATCTGGATGCCCTAATCTGAAGTTAGATCCTATTATTATATATGCCTTTGTGATATGTAAACGTTATGTTAAACATTTTTCCATTCATAAAAGCTGTATATTTTTAACTTAAGTGTTTTGAGTTGTCATAATGGTATTTAGCCTTCTTTTATGCCTACAAAGTCAAAGGTTTTCCACAAAACAGCATATAAGAAAGTGAATCCATTATTAATTTTAGAAATAATTGTTTTCTCATTTTGATATTGTAGAAGAGGAAAAGAAGGTACTATTGCAACTCTGACCAGAATTTTTTAAAGTAGCTTCTCAAGTAAAATTGCCTAAAATGTTTGTGTATAAAATATAAAACAACATAGCAAAAAGACTTAATAACAGGGCTGGTGAGATGGCTCAGTGGTCTAAAGCACCTACTTAGAACAAGCTAAGCTAAACAAAGCACAAGGACCACGGTTCAATCCCCCAGCA